TCAGTACAAGGGCGTTATTTGTTGTCATTCTGAACCTTGAGGAAGCCTCTAGTAGTGACGGCCAAAAGCCGATTTCTAATAAGCTGTGCGGGATTCGCGCCAGGAAAGAAGTCTACTCTCCCATTTGAGCTAGTCGAATCATCTAAATCAGAGCGGAAGAAAGTTTCTTGTGTGGAAGTATGAATTGTGTAACTGTTATCTTGTAAAGAGTTAACGGTCCCTTCCCCCGTGCTATGTGCAAGTTCGCATGTCCACACCTACGTGTGCCCGTCTCCTAGCAACCTCTCGATTCCTCATGATCGTAATTCGTGAAACTTGTGCCCAAGCCGTTGCCCCTCTCATAACTTCGTGAGCTCATTAATATGAAAGGCCCATACCAACATGACCAAAACCACGCTACCATCCATCCCGCACAAGACCGACCCTCCGATCTCTGTCAATGCCCAGCTGCTTCCCCTCCACTCCTAGCAGCATCTTCTCCTCGACAAAAGCAGGATCGCTCCTCCTAAACTTCTCCTTCATATCCTTCACCGACGGCCGTGTTGCTACGGGCAAAGGATCGTCCGGCCACAGTATCCGCTGGACTTCCTCATCGCTCATCCTCTCGGTCGTCAAGTCGCCGCAGGTCATAGACCTCTGATGGAAAGGCGCCGGCGCACTCGGGAAAGGCGGCGCCGAGGCCGCGGCCTTCCGCACCTTCTCCATCTCGTCCACCCGGACCCCGAGGACCTCTACCCCCCTGACCAACTCATCCACCTCGTCCTCCATGTCCAGCCCTCCGAAGCCCAGCACCAGATCATCAACCCCATCACGTTCTCGTGCGCGTCCGTCGACGACCGTCGCAGCCTCTGCCTCGGCTTCAGCCTCCCGTTCCAACTTCAGTAGGTCCCCTTCTCCCTTCATCGCCTTCTGCTCTCCGCCTCCAATAACATCCATACTAGTCAGCTTCATCAACGTCTTCCTCCGATGCGCCTTGACAAATCTCCTCATCAACAACCCTTCGTTCTCCTTGAACACCCGATAAAACGCCCTGTCAGCCAAAGCGGCAGCATGTAAGTCGTCCACACTCTCCATCCCCCTTAGGATCCTTAACCTCACATCATCCGTGACACCAGACTGACCCCTCGCCTCCTCCGCCTCCCGATCTTCCTCCACCCGCCTCAGCTCCTCGGGCCTCTTCACCTCCCCAACCACCTTCAGCCCTCTCTGCAGAACCGCCTGCACCTCACCGGATCGATGCCTACTCAATCCCCATCCGTGGGCCCGTCCACTGACCTCAAACAATGTCAGCCCAGAGACACTGTTATACACATCGCTGACAGCGGCCCTCAGCCTTGATGCCGGGTCACACAGACCTCCCCGATGAATAGCCTGCGGCGGGCTCTCAATGGTCCTCAGCAACTCGACGAGCTCCGCCAGACTTCTGTCCGGCCGCTTCGCATCCCCAAGAACACTCTCCTTTATGACCGTCTCCAAAAGCCCAAGCTCGCCAAACACAAGCATCAACCACCCAAGGTTCATCGCGTCACACGCCTGACTGCCCCTGGGACACCTCGTCCGCCCCCTCAACGCCGCCGAACCCCTCCACCCATCACCGTCCACGCCTCCCTTCAACCCCCCGTTCTCCTCCTCGCCGCCTCCTCCTCCAGGCCCTCTCAAGTACTCCCTCAAAGCCTCCCTACACACCCCCTCAACCTGTCCCATCTTCACCTCCCTCACCCCCCAAACCCTCTCCTTCACCCTCTCAGGCCACCTCTTCGCCCTCAACTCCTCCTCACTCCTCAAATTCAACACCGTCGTCTTGCTCATCCGCGCAAACAGCTGCCGGAACCCAAACACAAAACTAACCACCAGCATCCCGTCCGGCATCTCCTCGCTGCCCATGTGGATCCACCGCGGCAGCCACCGGTGCTCGACCACCAGCTCCAGCGGGCTCGTACACCGGTACCGCAGGCACGCCTCCGCCACCGCCACGAACCGCGCGAAGCTCACCTCCCGCGGCACCGCCTCGTTGCGCATGTGCGCCGCCGCAAGCAGAATCCCCAGCGCCCCCTCCTCGTCCCGCTCCGCCTGCGGCATCCGGTACAGCCGCGCCACGCTCCCGTCCCCGCACACGAATCCCTCCGTCGGCGGCAGCGGCGGCAGCTCCCCCTCCAGGTCCGCGTCGTCCTTGCCCCAGCCCGGGCCGACCTCCAACCGCCTCCGCCCCGTGAACATCCTCTCAAAGATGGGCGACGTCTCCGCCAGCATCGCGCTCGACACCCGGAACCGCCTCACCTCCCCGCCGCTGTTGAACTCCAGCACAGCGTCCCCGGCCGCCGAGATCACCACCTCCTCCACCTCTCCCGCCCTCCCGTCATCGAACCCGCAGCCGGCCTCCCCGCTCTGCAACACCCTCGCAATCTCAATAGCCTCCTTCTCCATGCGGTCCAGGTTCCGAAACCGCACGTCGTACTTCGCCCTCGAAAACCCGCCGCCGCCGCCGCCGTCAATCCTCGCCCTCCGCATCTCCTGAATCGCAGACGCCCGAAAGTCAACGTCCCTAAACAACGACTCCGTCATCTCCGCCGTGGCCCCGGGCTCGTGGCTCCGATACGTCGCCGCCAGCGACGCCCGCAGCGCGCCCATCACCGCCTCCATGCACGCCTTCCAGTCCCGGATCGCAGCCAGACATGCCTCGCGGCTCGGCGCCGCCTCCATATGCTCCTCCCCCTCATCCGGCTCCACGTTCCAAGACAGAGCCAGATTCCTCCTGCTGAGCGGTGACCGCGGATCGACAACCGCCCGGTCCGCAGACGACGACGTCCGCCGCCGCCGGCGCCGCAACAAAGACCGGCAGAGCTCCGCGTGCTCCTTGACCTTGGCGTACTCCCTAAACGCGGCATCGCACCCCCTCTCGTCGAGCGTCGAGCCGACACATCGTGTGAGCTCCTGGATCTGTCTCCAATTGGCCTTCAACTCGGCGACAGTAATCCCAGAGTCGGAGGCGGCGTGAGCGTGGTCGTCGTCGTCGTCGTTGCCGAGGTGTGGTGAGCGCGCCCCATTAAACGAAGCCTCATTGACCGACCCGCTGGAAGCACTGCTGTGGCTGCGGTAGTGCTGCTGGTGCCCTGCGGAAGCCATCGCCGACACGAAATCTTGATGAGAGGAAATGCTGCGCAGTCGGGGGTCGAAATCATCGAGAAAACGATGGTGGGGGTTGCTGGTCTTTAGCGGTCTGCCGTTCTACTTGGTAGCTCCCCTCATCCCCGGGACTAAGCACCGGACTCTAGCGCATCCTTCCGGCGCGGTCTAATCACACACGTGCTCCCTCTCTTTCTCTCTCTGTGTCTGGGAGAAAAAGTGGAAATGAGGAGTCAAGCTCGCTGCTCTTACTTCTCGATTTTTGATTTTGGTTTTGAGAAACTTTTCGTTTTTTTCTTCTTCATTGAATTAAGTCCTTCTATTTTGGTGAACGTTAATGACTCTGAACAAGAGACAACTTGTCTTAATAACCTTCGAGCTATCCACAGCTATCCTGCCATTGGACATTTCTCGATATTCAAACACCAAAATTCAATAATCCATTCAATCCAATCTCTTGTAACCTGACCATCCGCCAAAGAACACTATCCTAAATCCCATCTTCGTCAAACAAACACATCCTCGGCCACACAAACCACTGCATCCCAAGGGAACGGCTCCCACTCGGCTTCCAACACCAGACAGTCGCAGCGAAACAGACGGACATCAGATTGTGTTTCATGGACTGCAGCCGACAGCGCGCTCCCGCCTCCTGGGCCGCCAGGCACCTGCTGCCGAAAATACGAGACGTTTTGGGGGCCGTCGGATCTGGCTGTGTCAAGCAGGGATCGGTCACCGAGCACACACAGTACGGCACATAAGGTATCGATCTGTACAGGGCCAGCCGGTGTAAGGCTGAGGATGGGACCTGGGGAAACACGTCCGGATGACGTAATTTCGAGACCGACTGGCAGGTGCGCCCTGAGCTCTTTGGGAGAGTACAAACGACACGGCACCAACCACCTCGTGATGGCTTCGTGTGCTTCTTTTGTGGGACCTTAATCTTGATTCGACGTCAAGAATACGAGGCACTGATGAAGATCTGCCGCATGAGTCGCCCCCTGCTGGTGCCCTACAGAAATCCTCGTGGTGGCTTTTTCAAATCATGTCTTTTAACGCTTCCCGTCTATCTGCTTACACTGACACTAGTCGTTGATATCTTTTTCCGCCCCTATAATGCGGCCATGCTGGATTTTTCTCCATTCTGCCCCTTTCTGGGAGACATGAGCTCAGCCTTCCCCCGTCGGGTATTTGCGACAGTCTCCAGCCGTCTGGGGACACACAGCATTCGTACTATCCACGTCCACCCCCCTCTTCTCTTGCATCTTCTTCATGTACCTTTCCACCCAATGGTATGACTCTGTGACAAAAAGAAACTTGATAACGCATGCCTGAACCGTAACCCATACCGAAGACCGTTGCCGCAGATGCAATGAGACAAATAATCAGACCCGCCACCCAGGTATAACGCGAAAGACCCCCCTGCAACCTTTTTATCGGTGAAAATGACGACTGAGCCATAGTAATACGACTTTTGACGCTCGATCAAGCACTGCACAATCCCTAGAGATGCACTGGCCCGCTGATATCCGTAACTTTTGCTGGTTCCGTTCCGCTCGTCCTCGATGATCGTAGTCGCCATCAGGCCTGTCCCGGTGCTGATGATCGAGGCTGCGGAAGGCGCTTTTTACAGCACCTCTCCATCCTCGCGGCTCGTTCAACGCAGCCGTTGCCTGTTGACACTTCCACTGGCCTTTCTGCCAGGGAACATTCCCTCAATCCAGAACAGTCGTGTCCAACGCGTCCATGACCAAGGTCGCCGAGTGAGCTCCTCCTGACTTTCAGACCATATCCAACGAAGCAATGCTTGCTTTTTTCGTCACCCATTGGCTTCCCACGACAATGTTTGCTCGTGAGCTGCCAGCTTATCCATTTCTTTAGCCACCCTTACGATCTGCGTCATGCTTGGGCGGCAGCTCGCTGGAGACAAATCCGTTGCCTTGGTTCTTCCCATCGCCCTTTTTTCGACCCTTGGTAGCTTTTTGCCATCCTCCGTCGTGACCATGACCATCGTTCTTGCCGCCGCGATGGCCGTTCTCCCGGTTGCCGTTTGTTCTTGCGGGCTGACCCGATTGGCGCTGCGCGTTTGACGACTGAGACTTTGACGATTGCGTCGATTGACTTTGCTTGGCCTCCTTCACAACCTGACCCTTGTCTTTGTGAGCCGGCAGGGTCGACTCTGCGTGGCCACTCTGCAGATCACCCTTCACTTGGAAGTCGCCTTTCCTCACGACTGTCGGAGAAGGCGAACGTGTCTCGTTGATGGGTGAGAGATGTTGAGCATCAATGCTAAGTTGATGGCCGTTCATCCTGTTCTCCCTGGTCGCCAGATCGAGCGGTGCTATCACCCCACTTTGCTGCCGCATAGCCCTTCGCTGCAGGGAAATTTGGTTTCCGACGGGAACCTCCGGCGACGCCTGAGCTTGCTGTGACCACCCATACTGATTCATTAAGGCGATTCTGTCGCGAAACGAAGGGTCGTCGACAGGTCGAGGCGCTGAAGCAGGCGAGGCCGTGGCAGCAGTGTTGCTGATCGATGAGGGTGTGGTCGTGCCGTTGACAATCACTGGGGGACGCTCTGAAATAGGTGTCTTCACAGGCTCAGACCGAAACGAAGACTGACCATCAACCTGGTCCGTAGTAAAACCGCTAATTCCTAAGCCTTGAGCTTGGAGTGGGGTTTCCTGAGACGATCTAGATGAGTCTTCGGCCGGCGTCGCATCGGGTACTGGGGCTGACTGGAAGGGAGTAGAGCTCGTGCGTAGAGAAGAGCCCGTCCCGTTGACCACCAACGGTCTTGCTGCTGTCCGTCCATTAGCGATGGGAGGAGTTGATGACTGCCCGTTCACGGCTGACGTGCTCGTTGAAAAGGTTCGAGCATGGCCCAAAGGGGATGGTGAGCGTGACGTTCTTCGCATCCGGCGGTCCAATATGGTCTGCGGGACTTCAGTCGAAAGTCTTCGGCGCCCTTGACTTGGCTGTGAAAGTTCCCCCAAGGCAAGTGTATTGGGAGCACCTTGAGAGCGGGCTGGACTGGATGCTTCTGAAACATAGTAGCCCAAGTACGCAGCTCCATCGTCGGAGTTTGGTGAGTTGCTTGCAGGCCGTTGAGGCGCCTCGTCGTAATCAGCGTCGTCAGGGATGAAGCTCGGGATCGGAACTCCATTGGCCTGGCGGGGCGGATGCGAGCTTCCATTCGTTGGCGTGCTGGAGCCGGGGTAGCCTTGCGCCTGTTGTCCTGCTGGGCCAGACCGCGAAGCTGGCTGCGATTGAGACCTCAGCGAGCTTCCCGACGTCGAGTTGCCGGATTCCGTTGTCACTGAAGACCTTTGCAATCCTCGACGGTACTCCGGTGTCGCCGTGGTTGTTGCAGGTGAGGATGGGTACGTGAATCCAGACTGGTTGTAGTAGGTAGCGGGGAAGGGAACACCACCATACATGCTGTACCACTCAGGAGCAGCGATGGGAGCACTCAGGGGAGGGTTGTCGAACGAATTGGTCCTAGATCGCTCGGAGCCCTGCTGCGAGTTTGCGTTGGAGCTTTGCATTCTCTGTGCAGCATGCATTTGCGCAGCCATCTGGGCTTGTACTTGCTGGTATACCTGGGACTGGCTGTAGAGCTGGATGCGAAGGTTATTTTCCTGCTGTAATTGGGCGGCCATGGCTGCACTCACAAGCGCGGGGTACTGAAGCTGGTGAGCTGACGGCTGTTGTGTGAACCAGGCGAGCTCCTGCGGTGTGACTGCTACTTGCGGCATGTACATTGTGTTAGTATCATAGGCAACGCTCGACGACGCTCTCCGGTTGGAGTTTCCGTTGCGGTGGAAGTTGTTAGAATGACGACCGCCCCGGTAGTTGCCGCGGCCACCTCCTCTGCCAGAATGCTGCTGCGAAGAACTGCGAATCATGACCGGACGCGAAGTCTGCGCGGGCCTTTGGAAAGTTGGCGGCTCCTCCTTGGGGTAAACGTACTGCTCGCAACACTCATCCAGTTTGGCTTCCGAGATCAGATCAAATGCTCGTCGCAACTCGAGATGAAGGCCGCGGAAAGAGTATTCATCTGCAGTGTTGCCCAAGTTGCGAACAGTGTTGAATGGTTCCTCCACACACAGGAAGTTGTTCAGACCAATATGCCATCCCTTCTCCTGTTTCGACACTTTCCTACCAAGGCGGACCGAGATGGCATTCTTCTCGTAGTCGAACTCGTGCGCATAAAACCTGAAGAATTGAAACAAAAGGTCACCCAAAGAAGATTTGTTCTTGTCGCCAAACCCACGAAGCTTGTCGAGGTCATCGGCAAACGCGCTCTCCGGCCCACCCTTCTTAGGGAGCCTTTGGTGTTGTCGCTGGTGCAGTGACGGAAGGACTGGCGGGTCGCGGAGTTGCAGGAATCCGATGATCAGGCAAATCCACGTGTAGGAACTGAGTGTGCCGCCGAAGGCTATTTCGATCAGTAGGTGCGCATTGAAGCAGTAGCAGACAAGTCATACCAGCGTCATTCACGATCCTCTTCCGTGTCCAGTACTTGACAATCATCGCCAGTGGCCTCACTCGTGGGTCGATCTCGACGTAAGTGCGCACCATTCGCGTGTTCTCCAAGGCCAGAGTGTTGTTCACGTTCATGTCGCATGCGAGGCCGAGTTCGGGGTCCCAGATTTTGACAATCGGGACTTTCGCGGCGGAAATACAGACTACCTTCTCCATGCCCTCTGCAGAGACGATTAGAAATGACTGGGGAATCATGGACGAAGTAGCTTACTCTTTGCGAGGAGGTTCGCAATCATGCAAACGCCCTCCATCTCCTTCCATGGTGTCGTGATGCAAATGTCGACTGCATCCGGGTCAGTGTTGAGGCCTGAATGGGTGTGAGTGGAAATAAGAAGAAATGTACGAACCATCGGAGTCATCGGAGCAAAGCAGGTTACCCGACGAACCAAAGAGATTGACGCGGATGTCATTTCCCGGCCACTCCTCGTTGAAGATTTTCTCCAATTTGACGACAAGCTTTTTGCGGTTCTCCTCGACCTTCTCAGTCGGTATTAACCTGTCGTAGAGCTCGCGCATATCTGTGGTCAACTTCCTTTCTTCATCTTCCGACAGCTTGCTCTTGATTTTCTCAAGGTTCGTCTTTTCAAGCTTGTCGCTCCCTAAACTATAGGGCATTCTCCTTCTCGAGTTTACCTGCGCCGTCTCATATTGGCAACCGCCCAAACGAGGAGGGAGAGGTCGTAATGAGGGAAGATTGCTATTCGTTTCGGAGTAAGCAGAGCGGGGTGAGTGGTTATTTGTTGCGGTAGGCGATGGCTCGCGCGACTCGAACGAGAAGTTCCTAGCATGTTGTTGAGGCGTGGAGGGCATCGAGTTGGAGTGGGATTGGCCATTGGTAGGGCGCGCCCCAGGGCGAGCGGGCAGAGGATGCGAAAGCTCCGGCTGAGATGGCTGCTGCATCTTGGGCGGAGCGTCCTTGCCTGTTATGACAGCACGATCGCCTTTGTCTTTGCTCTGCACAACTCTATTCCCATGGCCTCCTTGGGTGCCTTTTGTTGCGGGTTGGTCCTTGTTCGACACCTTGGAGGAGGATCGAGAACGGGGGGCCGCCTGAATGTGAGGAGCCGCCACTGTCGCCTGAGGAAGCGGTTGTGGTTGTTGCAAGCCGCCTCCTCGTCCCGGAGAGACGAGATTGGTGTAGTGCAGCAACTGCGCTTGGTAGACAGATGCTTGCTGAGGGAAAAGAAGGGGCCAGAAATCGACCTGGGCGGGGACGCGGGACGAGGCGTCGACGAAGTGGCAAGGGTTCAGCGTTGCGCTACTCGAGGATATCGCAGGCTGGTGTAGCCAAGGACTTGACGGATAAGTATGCTTCGATTCTGCGGTTGTCGCCCGACTTTCCATGGAGCGAGTCCTGGCTCAGCTTCCGTGACGAGGGCGAGTCGGCGGTGGCAGAAGCGGAAGCAGGGCGTCGGAAATTCGATCAAGACGTCGTGTCAACCGAGTCGTCGGGAGCGGATTGGGGCGAGAGTAGGTACAGGGCGAGGTAGCGAGGGTGGCGGGTGGTCAAGACACAGTCGAGGAGGTAGACACGGCTCAGCGTGGTCGAATCTCGCTCCAGTGGTGGCAGACGAGGGGGTGGAAGGTTGAGAGTTTCGGGGTTTGGGCAAATGTGGCTGGCACAAGTAGAATGCTGCTAGCGGCGTGCAAAGGAGTCGACAGTAGGCATTAATATGTGCGGGGGACGGTGTATTCGACTCGACAAAGTTGTGTGGTGTTTTGTTGGAGAGGAAGGACTCTTCGCGGTGCGGCGGGTGGTCCTCTGAAGAGGAAGAGAGAGAATGTCGTCGGTGGAAGGAGGCGAAAGGATGGGTGTGGAGTTTAGATCGGGGACGTTGGCCCAAAAGCGACAGGACTGGACGGGGGGTGCCTCGGGCAGTGGACCACGAAATAACGATGGGGGGAAAGGGTCTAAAGGGGGTGCACCGCGAGCCGACACGGTCTGCTGCTGCTGCTGTTGCTGCTCGCTCTGCCGCGCTGATCTTCAGTCTCCCACGTCCTCTTGTTCTAGGGGGCGATACGAGGCGGAGTTGCTGGTCTGTCGAGGGCACGAGTAGCAACAGGAAAAGAGGATGCAAGAGTGAGGCCGAATTTCAGAAAAGTGAGAGAACTGAATGATGTTCCCGGAAGAGAGAAGAGAGGTGGAAGGGGAGCGTTTCGTTTGGGGGTGCAAGGAAGGTGCATAGAGAGAGACACAGAGAGACACTCTCAGCATGCAATGCCTACTAGTACGCAGTACCTGCGCAGTCTGGTAAGGTCATGTACCTCATGGACAAGTAGCTGGGGCTTTGGGGGTGTGGTGGATGTACCTTCACCTCGTCACCACCGGGGGGGAGGGGAGGGGAGAGGAGAGGAGAGAGAGGTACGGCAAGGGTGGTGGCAGTATTCTGAACGGGCAGAAGAGGAGGAGAGGACGTGGGACCGGTGGAAACGGACGTGTACCGCCGTAGAGTGCGTGCGGGACTGGGCAGGCGGCGTGGAAGGGGAACGGATGTATCTTGTGGCCCAGCTAGGGCTGGGAGGTACTTCTGTCTGGCTGGTTGGCTGAGAAGGAAAGAGTAATTATTGGGTAAAGTGCCTAGGGAAGGTGCGGATAGGTGAGGTAGGGGAAGGTCAAGTCAGGTCAGGTCAGCACGGTCAGGTACCTGCCAACGGCGCCTTGGGTACCGGTTGGATCACGGCAAGGCTGCTAAAGGAGACGGGAGGAGGGCAGATGCTAGCCTCTGATGGCCGCTGGCTGTCGTGTCAAACCGTGTCGTACCGTGTGTCGTATCGAGGACTTCCGTCGTTCGTAGGGAAGCTGAGAGCGCGCCTTCTGATGAGGTCAAGAGTGATGCTCGTGGCTTTGAAAGCCGAGAGCGGATGGCGGGGGGCCTTGCAGGAAGGGCAGACAAGCAATAAAGCAGCAAACGAGAGCAGACAGACATCACACACGCATCCCATCCCTCAGGACATGGTCGTCACGCAGGCAAGGTACGGCGCGATGCAGCGCAGCAGGCGGTTCATGGTCCGCAGCAACCCTAAGGCACCTTGGGCACTTTACGCACATCAACTCCCCTCAGTCACCTCGCCGATGCAGTCACATCTGCAGCAATATGCTCGCCGCATCTACGCCGTACTCGCCGTACGGATACATTTGCTCGACCATCCGAAGTAAAGCGTTGGGTTGGTAGGTGTTTGGCTGGCCTCGTCCGGGGCCTTTTCTGCCCTGATGCGTGGTTGGATAGGAAATAAGGTAGGGCAGGTACAGCAACTCAAAGTAGGTAGATACCTTCTTCCAAGTACCTGCAACGGGGACTGGTACCTGCACTGCACCACCTGCCCATGTCCTGTCTGCGCGCACAATCAGAAAGTCGAGATTATCCAAGAAGGAAATAGGAGAGGAAGCAAGGCAAGGTACGAATGAACAGGCAAGGGCACACACGGCAGGGCGGCAGGGCGGCAACAGCTCGACAGAAGGAGTAACAGCAACAACGGCCGGCTCAGCCAAAGGCAACTGTAGCGCAGCAATAGCCAACTGACCGGACCTCACCCGCAAGACAGCGCCAACCAACCGCGACCTGAGATATTAGATGAGGACCGAGTACCTCGGGATGGAGGTAGGCATTTACAACAGGCGCGGCGTGAGATGATTCAGACACAATAAGCCAGACTTGCCAAAGTCAAAGTCAGCCTGCAGTTGGCACGACCAACAAACGAGCTGGCAGAGGCCCAAGCAGGCAGGGCAACACAGTGAAAGCCGCGCAGCAGAGAAAAGAAAGGCGAAGGCGGATGAACAACGAACGAGTTGGGCTTGTATCCCGTTCCATTCGAATATGGAAGGAAGGAAGGAAGGAACCTCAGTCTCAGCTTGTCAGGTTGCACTTCGCGCGTCAGGCCAAGTCAGATCAGGCCAGGCAGGGCAGGACAAGTCTGGTCCAGCCAACCAGTCATCTGGTCAGCAGCACGAAGTAGTCGAGGTCAGGAAGGTGCCGGTCATCCTGATGATGCAACAAGATGCAATTCCTCAATCTCCATCTGCGCCTTCCTCTCCTTCCCGTTCCTGCGCCCTTTCCCTCCCGCGGTCGCATCCAGCCCCGGTCCTTCCACCTCCTCCCGTCACCTCACCTCACCTCAGCTTTGCCTGCCGAACGCACCTACCGACTCGGTAGTTTATCTCTACGTACTTGCCTTGCCTTTGGCACTGCAGAATCAGATTGCAGATGAGGGCAGGTGCTTCTTCTTCTTTGCTTGGCTCCTGCCTCTTGGCTTTAGTTGATGTTTGTGTCCCTGCTTGTGCGCCGAAGTGGCTCTCCTCTCCATTCTCTGCCGATACTGGACGCAATCTTGGGAATGACGGGAATTACATTACCCAGAACCCTCCCCTCCCGGTACATGATGTGGTAAAGAGGTACTCGAACCCCCAAGTACCTACCTCACCTGGCCCGACTCTAAGCAGGAACACTAGCATCCCTCCCGGCACAGCGCAGCGCAGCAAAGCTACGTCCTGCTGCCAATACCAAATCCCACCCACAGTGCATGCACGGAGCGCGCGGGCAATACCAGCAGCAGCAGCACCACCACCACCACCACCACCACCAGCCGCCAAAGTGGGGAAGCAACATGCTCTGGACGCAAATTGGAGAGGGGAGGGGTTATTTCTGACCATCACAAAAACCACGACTTTATTCCACGTCCCCTTTCCCGTCGCGGTTCTCGCGGAGTCTGGCCGCTCGCTCCCTGCCTTGCCATTGCCACGCGCTGCTTGAGCCTGCTTGCCTGCCGTTCTGCTGGCACGGCTGGGCTGGGCTGGCCGGGTCTCAGTGGTCGGGCTGGCATCGAAAGACCGACTACTGCCGCTGGTGTTGCTGCTGCTTGGCCTCGAGCCTGTGGGAGGGAGCTGGCCCTAGCACGAGCCAAGTACCGTTCCCTTACACGCCCAGGCCAGAGTCTACCTCACCTCAAAGTGCCAACGCCGCAAAACGGGCTACAGGGGTTAAAGGGGGGAAGACAGGCGCCACATGCCCCTCCAACCACTGACTGTCACTTGTCTCCGAACGGCCTTTCCTCACTTGGGAGATGACGTCGGAGAACCGGACGGCTTGTCTTGGATTTGATGTTGGAAACTTCTAATTGTGTTGGATTGGAACACTAGGCCATCCAACGCCAATGCCCTTGGCTCCGGTTCACGCATTCTCGTCCTGCTGGGCGTCGCTCCATTTCGCGCGTTTCTGCGATCCAACGACCGGCCATCACAACCATCGCCGAGAACCCAGCAGCCAAGTACATCTCCGGGGGGTCTTCTCTGACTCGGCCGGCGAATCCCGCGGTGGGGGAGAACTGCGCGAGACTCAACGGTACTTCCACCTTATGTACAGCCCCGATAGGGCTATGTATCCTTAGTAAGCAGGACGACCCGCTAAGCCCGCTTACAAGACTAGTGCTCCAGCTGCATTGCAGGCCAATCTTGCAGTGAGTGAGGCATTTGGCCCAGCCTCCCCGCCTTCCGCCCGCTCCAGAATGGAAGAAGGAAGAACTGGGACAGACATGTGCCACTATGCGCCTCGCCATGTCATGCACGTACCGCGACGGGACCGCGACACCGCGACCTCGGACACCACATTCACCATCCACTGGAGCAGGCACGATGAAGAATGGGCAATGGACAATTGACTGACGACGCCGGCAGCAGAGAAAAGAAAAGAGCACTCACTGCAAGACATCATGCTGCCCCTTCTGACGGGTTCCCGCCAATCTGTTACCCATCCGGGGGCCTCCCAAGGCCTCGTTGTTTTTGCCCATTATTTCATCTTGTATTTTATTTTAATTATTCCCTCGCACCCTATTTCACCCTATCGCGCCTTTACCGCCTTTCTCGTCTGGTCTCGTCTCGCCTCGTCTTGTCTCGCGACCTCCCGTACCCTTTTTTTTCCTCTCCCTGCCGTACCATATTTCCATTTCCCATTGCTCCCGTCTCCCCTGTCGGCATCATCTATTTCCACCACCTTAAAATTATCAGGGTCCCGGTACTATGGCCACCTGAATGTCCTTCCAGAAACCAGGAGACGGTGGGGACGAGCATGGCTGCGGTTCGCAACTAGCGATTGAGGACAACATCCGTACTCTTAGTAGTACGTTATACTTTTAGGGTCAAAACGTCGTATTTTTCAGCGAGAACGCAGGGATATATATTAAGCTAATCCTTAATAGGTAATTCAGCTTCTACTACCTCCTTATAAGCTAATTAATCTTTAAAGTGTAGTAAATCTAACTTAGTAGCTTATTCTTAGTAAAATAAAGTTTCTCCTAAACTTATAGTTATAATATCTATCTTCTTTAGTACTTTTAAGTTAATATATATAAAT